GCGCCCGCGCGGTCTGGCGGCGGCAGGTGCTGAGGCTGCAGCTGTGGGGCCGCCAGCTGCCGGCGCCGCGACCCCCGCCCCCGGGGAGGAGTCCCACACGCGGCCAACAAGGGCTGTGGAGGTCCCGGCCCGCCGCAGTAGGCGGTCCTGCTCCCACCCTCGCCCTGCCCCCTCCGGCCTTCTCTAGCTACCCACTGGGGCACGCAGCGTCCGCCGAGTTCCCAGGGGGACACTGAGGCCTGGAGAGGAAAGGGACTCCCCAAGGTCATCCAGAATCGCGGTAGCAGGGCCAAAGCTGTAACCCAAAACGACCCCCACCTTCTCTCCCCTGCAAGCGGATTATGTGCGACCCTGGCGGATGCAGAGGACTTTTACTCTCCCCTATCCCCGTCCCTAGCCCCCAGCCCCAAAGGACCCCAGGCCGAGGCACTCTGAACAACCTCTCGGATCTCGAAACTCTGCTCTAGGACGGGGCTTTCCTCATACCTCTTCAGCTTCCTTATTGGTCTCCTGAAGGGCTCTTTAGACCTGGAAGCCCTAAACTGCTGAGGTTCCCTGAGGCTCTGCGCTCAGGCCTCTCCCTGAGGCATTACATCCATTCCCTTCACTCCACTCCTACCACCTCCCTGTCCATCACAGCCAAAGGTATCGTCCTCATCAAGAACTCTTTCTCCATGCTGAAATATCTACTGAACACCTACTAGGCCCATGCTGTGTTAGACACTGGAGATACAACTTCCATAAAACTCAACCCTTGTCCTCAAGGAAGTACAGTCTAATGGGCTTTTAATATAGTGCAGCTCCAGGAGCAGTAGCACCGTCCCAAGGTACCCAGAGCACCATGCCAGGTGCCTGAGTGAAGGCCTCCTGGAGGGGGCAACCTCTAAACAGAAACCTGAAAAGCCACCTGGGGTTGACCAATGAAAGGGAAGAGTGTGGAGACAGCCTGCCACTTGGAGGCTACAGGAACAAAGACTTCAAGATGAGATGGATCCCACTAAGAGAGGGAGAGGAGGTGAGAGCCGAAAGGGAGAAGCTGGACAGTCAGAGGGACCAACTCCTGGTCAGGAAGTTGGTGCTCTGTTCTCAGTGCCAGTGGCCGGTTCATGACAGTTTTCAGGATGTAAGGGGTACCATCAGATTACTAGGTTAGACCATTCTGGGGATCAAATGGAGCACAGACAAATGTCCACCCATGGTAGGAGGGGCGCTGCAGCATTTTGGAGCCAACCTGGCCTGGATAAAGATGGATACTGGAGCACCTACCTCTTCTCTATTCTTCATTTCTCGATCCCAGCTTTTATGCAGAAACTCTCCTGAGTGCTCTATCTTTCAAAGGTCTCCTAAGTATCTGCCCCTAAAGCTTACATTTTCTCTTGATGCCCAGTCAGCCTGCTCCCACCCAGATCTATGGGCTGAGTGAACCCATGCTCCTTGAAGTTTGCTTCTCTCACTAGTCTCTGCTGTAGATATACCATACAAAGATCTGCATAGAGTAAGCACCATTAGGGGAAATGGACAAAAATGGAAGACTTTGAAGCCAACGGGAAAGTAAAGTAAGCTTTTAAAATAACTTTAGCTGGGCATAGCAACACATGTCTGTAATCCCAGCACTCTGGGAAGCTGAAGTATTAGAGCCCAGCCTGGACAACTCAGCAAATTAGCAAGACCCTGTCTCAAATAAAAAAGGGTTGGGGATGTAACTCAGTGTGGAGGTCTGGGATCCATCCCAAGTACTGCAATAAACACACACACACACACACACACACTCATACACTTTGCTTCACTATTCCTTACAACTGCACACAAATCTAGAATTTTCTAAAAATAAAATTTAATTTAAAAAGTGTGCTGTAGATAAAGATTAAAAACCAAAGTATGGTCTCTAATGCAGGATAAACACCAAAGAGTGCGTTTGTCCAAAAGGAAGATGAATGAAACCCTCTCGTCAGCAAGTACAAATCTTCCCTGTGGAAATTTGTCCTGTCCTTCTCAGTTTTCTAGCTGCCTATTCCAGAAGTATCTGCTTCTTCCAATGTTTTACGTACAGTATTTCTGTCTAGACAATGTCACCTTTGGTCCTAGGGACCCTACTCTCATTCTGACTGCTCTTCCTTCTGTGTCTACTTTGCCATTTTCTCCTTATCTGCCAACCTGGAGCACACTAAGATTCTTCACACTCACCCTTGGTCTCTTTCCTCCCCTCTCTCCCACCAGGCAATTCTATTGGATGTATGACTTCAGCCTAGACCTTTCTTCTGTGCTGCAAACTCGGATACACAACTGCTTTCGGACATCTCCTGAATATTCCTCTGGTACCCTAGTCTCAACAGAGCTCAAACCAAAGTCACATCTTTTGCCCAAGTTAAGTCTTCTGCATGGTTTCCCTGTCTTTCCTAGTGGTGACACCATCTTTCCCCAGACATTTAAGTTAGAAACCAAAGGGCTGTTTCAGACTCTTCCCTCTTCCTGGCCCCCACACCCTACTGTTCATCAAGTCTGGTCACCTCTGCTGCCTGGACATCTCTAATGCATGTCTCCTCCTCTTCATATGGCTGGCCTTGCTGTAGCTGGAGCCTTGCCATTTCTTACCAAGGTTAGTCTCACCTGTTGGCAACTCATCCTCACATGCTACCTATGGTCTTTTAAAACTACAAATCTGCCATCCATCCACTGATGAATGGATAAAAAAAGATTTTTTTTATACAATGGAGTACTGCTCAGCCATAAAGAAAGATAAACTTGAGACATTTCTAGCTAAATGGATGCACCTTGAGATCATACTCTTAAGTGAAATAAATTAGACATGCACGTGTAAATATTGCATCATTTCTGCGGTGTGAAAAACTGAAAGTGTAAATAAGAACCAAAATATATAATAGGTATTGTGAAATAGGAAGAAATTGTTCAAAGGGAAAGGGGATCTAGGTAAAGGGGAAGGGGTAAGCAAGGAAGAGAAAAAAATAAGAAAACAGGGATAAAATGGAAACAAAGCTTTGTTAATAAGGAGGGGAAGAGGGGTTGAAGGAAGGAGAGGCAAATGGGAAAAAAGAAGAATCAAGATATATCATATAGAGGTACAAATCCCCTATGATGAATGTGATCATTATGTATATCTAAACTGTGCCAATAAACTTAAATTTAAAGAAAAACGCAAATATGACAATCACTCGTCTGCTGAAAATACTTCCATTGTTCCTCCTTTACCTAGAGATAAACTTTTAATGCCTTAGCATTGCATTCCCACCTGTTACCCCTGCTGCCTCATCTCTACCTCACCCCATACCTGCACACCAAACACTATATTCCCCTGGCACACCATGCAATAAAAGATCTAGAGCACACTGCCAAAAAGTGTAGTCTGAGACCAAACCAACTGGGCTCAAATCACAGTGGTGTCACTTTTTAACCTGTGTAATTTAGGGAAAGTTTCATAATCTCTCAGTTCTAGCTTTCCACTTTTGCAAAGGGAGGATAATGAGAATACCTACAACCTACCAATGTTCTAAAAATTCAGGGTCTCTAGCGATGATAACTTCCTAGCCAGCACTATTCATAATGCTTATGGTTGTTACATGCACTGAAGATAGTTCTACTTGTTTTACAGAAAAAGAAACTGGGCTCCAAGAAGTAAAGTGACTTATTTAAGATCCCACAGCATTAAAGTGACTGCCCTGCGAGTCTTATGGGATTCTAAGTCCCACACCACTAATAACTTTGCACAACCTATTACAACCTCTGAAAGGCTTCCTCATTTCTGTATCTTTACCCTGACCTTCAAAATAAGCTCTTCTTCCTTTAAATTCTGGTCAAAAATATTTTCTTCTCCACAAGCTTCCCAGTCCCCCTCTGGGCCTCTGCTACACTTGGTATGTATGTATGTAGTATAAAGAAGGCACCCAGTATACCCATTACAATGGTTTGTTAACCTGTCTGTCTCCTTGAGACCTCTTTGAGAAAGAAAATATCTTATTTATTTTTGTCTTTCTAGAATTTCACAAATATATTTTGAATGAATGGATAAATCAAAAAATAAAATATACAGAAGCATCTCAAAAGAGTTTTACCCTAACAACTGTCATTTCAATATAGATCACTTTTAATCTCTGTTTGTGTCACTCTGAAGAGTCACTTTGGTCAAAGAATAGCACCAAATGATCCAATATTAATATGGAGTAAGATGCAGCAAGACTGAAATTTCTCATTTTGCTATTTGGTTGTGCCTTGTCCGTCTCAGATGTCTTTCCTTTTTTTAGTGACACTATATAATAATCTATAATGAGAAGCTGTGTTGCATCCTAATGAGACTTCCTGACTAAAACATCTGAGGTTTGAATTTATTTCCCACAAGTACCATTTCAGCTAAGTTTGCTTTCTCTGTGTCAATGAGTGTGTCATTTGTCATCTACTAAGTGCCTATACCTCCCTTTTATCTGTATTAATCTTTGCATTCAAATACTATTAAGAGCTAACTTAATAGTTGGCTTTTTCTATACAGTTTCCTTCTTAGAATGCCTAACTCTTCCAAATTGCACATCTATTATTCCCAAAATAGAATAGTTTACTGCTTCAAATTTCAGCTTTACTGTCTGCAGTGATTTAAGACAAGTTCTGCTCTTCCTCAGAATGATCAAATTCCATACGGTAGAAAGAAAGAAAGAAAAGAAAGAGAGAGAGAAAAAAAGGCTCTGATCCTACCATTTTGCACGGGCTGATGATTTTAAATTAGATGTTAGAAACATTTAAACTATATACCAGAATACAATTATATTGGCAATTTTAATACCTTCACATCAAATCAATGAGAAGCAGTGCCAAGTGAAAGAAAGCGCATAGTCTG